GTTCCTGACCTGGTAGCCCAGCTTGCCGAAGGCGTACTCTGGGTCTCTCGTGCCACCAGCCCTGGATCCAGGCCAGCTGGTGGGGAGGCTACAGGGGGCTGGGGGGCCTTCCTCTGGCGAGGCGCAGCCCTTGGGGAAGGGCTGTCATTAAGAGCAGCATACGCCAGCTCACCAAGCCTGGGTGGCACCTCACAGCCTTTAAGCATAGTATCCATCCATGAAGAAACTGTAGAATCTGCAGGCGGAGGGACCAACCTGACGCAAGGCGCAGCCCTTGGGGAAGGGCTGTCATTAATGGCAGCATCCGCCAGCCCACCAAGCATCAGTGGCAACTCAAAGCCATGCTCCGAGGTATTCTGTGTCGAACTGCTGTCAAACACTCTGTCCTGGTGGAGTGGGTTGGAAGGGATTGGTAGCCTTGGGAACTTTGCCTGCTTCGCCTGCCGTCTTAGCAATAGACTCAGCTCGGGAACGTACTCGATCCTTTCCTTCTTCCTTTGGCTGTGTTGGGGTCGCAGTCGGCACCTCCTTCGCTTCCGCTTCCGAAATCCCTTCTCCGTCTGACCTTTTCCTCTTTTTTGCAACCAGCCTTTCTTGTTGCTTAGTGTGCTCTTTGCGAAGCTCCTCCGCCTGGGTCTCGATTTTACCAAACATCTTAGACGTGACATCCTGAAGGGAGTCCTGCAGCGCCTTGACCCGACGGGCAGCCTCCTCTTTGTCCTCAGCCGAGAGGTCCACAAACTCATTGAGCCCAAACATCTCATTTGGATTCAAGTGGCGCTGCACCTGTCCTTCCATGAGGGCTGCCAAGCTGATCTTACTTTGGTTCGGTTCTGATGCAGCTGGGTGTACTTGAGAATGAACTTCTTCGATGGCCACACGATAATCCTCCTCATGCTGAGCAACTTGGCGCAACACTTCTTTGATTTGGATAGCTTGCGATTCAAGGGATTCCTGTGTCCTTTCATACTGATCCACCAGTTTCTGCATTTTCGTGTCCAGCTGCTTGAGCGCACGGTTAGCGTCATTTGCCCGCTGCTGGGCAGGTGCTTGAGCCACGGGCTGCGCTGCCAGCTTGGCACGATATACGTCTGCGGTGGCCTTGTCTCCCATTTTCTCTGCAAGGCTGATGAGTTGAGAAATTTCGGCCTCCGACACACTGCCTGGTGACGTGTTGAATGGAGACGCCCATCTTTGATCAGTGAACACTGGGCCATCTTTACCTTGTCCTTTGCCTCCTTTAGGCTTGGGCAGGGGCCATTGGGGCACTTTGGTGTCACTAGGGGCAACTCCAGACCAGCTCCTTTGACAATGTTTACACCACGACCAATACTTCTTATTTTTAGCACAGCCACAGTGCCCACATTTCCGAGCCCCGCGAGGCTTAGCAGGAACGGGAGCAGGCGCCATGGCTTCCTCTGAAGACTTCCTGAAAACGTCGTACTTACTGTGCACTTACTGTGCTCCCACAGGAGCTCACAACGGGTAAACCTCGTCCGACCAGGCAATCGAGGGATGCAGGTGGGGCCGTCTTCTCCCCCTTGCCAAAAGGTCAGGTCCTGAGCCGAACCGCTACGGACTTGAGCCAAAATGGCTACGGCCTCCTTCTCCTTCTCCTCCTCCTCCTCCTCCTCCTCCTCCTCCCCCTCCGACTCGCGAGCCCCATCCATGGACGCCACCCCCTCCTTCGCACGCCTCCGAGGGCCAGGGGCCGAGCAGGCCCGGAGCCGGCGCCCCTCGAGGAAGGACAGTTGGCCATAATCTGTCAGGAGGGGAAAAAACACACAGACACAATTCATCGTCGATTCCTCAGAGAGAATGGGAAAATATGGGAAGTGGTGGGGAAGGCGAAAATCCAGAAGGTATGAGGAAAATGGGGGAATCTGGTTATCTGTGTCTATTTATATGTGTGTGTGTGTGTGTCCCGGTTCCCCTTCATTTGCACGCCTCCGAGGGCAGGGGGCCGAGCAGGCCTGGAGCCAGCGCCCCTCGAGGGAGGACAGCTTGCCATAATCTAAGCCTCCTAGATTTGAGTCGGGCAGGTGCCTCGACAGAAGGAACGTTCAAAATAGGCAAAATAATACAGTGCCGTTTTTAATACATGCTCCGCGTGCGGATCATGAAAAACAGCGATGAGTTCATGCATCAATTCATTATTAAGCTAATCATAAACTCATATATCCTTAAATTTCCTATGTATTAAAAACTGCCCTGTAGTCTGGTGACGATTTTTCGACTCTATATTTGAGTATTTTTTGGCTACTGTTTAATTTTCGTTCAAAATCCGCCTGTAGGGGGACATGCCCGACCTAATTCTAGATGGGGTCCGAGCAGATGGGGTCGGAGGAGCGTGCCGCATCACCGCTGCGTCGACGATGCGGCTCGATGTGGAGCCCGTGTTTCCACACGCCGACGTCGCCAATGCATCGCCGACGTCACCGATGCATCGCCGATACATCGCCAGTACATCGGCGATGCATTTGCGATGCGGCGCGATCCTCCGACCTCATCTATCAGGGGAGAAAAAACACACACAGACACAATTCATCGCCGATATACCAGAAATTATGGGAAGACATGGGAAAATATGGGAAGTGGGGGGAGGACAACATACCAGAACATATGGGAAAGTATGGGGAATCCTGTTTTTTTTTTGTGTGTGTATATACTTGTGTGTCCCTGGGCCCCTTCTAGGAGACCTCTATCGAGGAAGGACGGCTTGCCACACGCGCTGCTCTTCGGAGCTCCGCGCGGACCTCGCTTGGATCTGCGCTGGGCCCCCGTGGCGGCACCTCCAGGCGCCGCCCCCGGCGCGCTCCCGGCGCGCCCCGGGGAGGGTGGCCGAACGCTGGCCTCGGGAAGTCCGCGCGTGCCTCCGAGCAGCGACTGCGGGTGTCGTTCTCGCGGGTCCTCCAGGCCCTCGGTCGAGGCGGAGGGGGCGGAGGCGGAGGAGGCGGAGGCGGAGGCGGAGGAGGCGGAGGAGGAGGCGGAGGAGGAGGAGGAGGAGGAGGAGGGGGAGGCGGAGGAGGGGGCGGAGGGGGAGAGGAGGAGGAAGAGGAGGAGAGGAGGAAGGAGGAGGAGGCGGGGGAGGCGGAGGAGGCGGAGGAGGCGGAGGAGGCGGAGGAGAGGAGGAGGAGGAGAGGCGGCGGAGGAGGCGGAGGAGGAGGAAGAGGAGGAGGAGGAGGGCTCGCCCAGGCCCACCGGAGAAGCCCTCCACCGCGAAGCGTCTCGACCGGAGCCCCGCGCCCCCTCTTTCCGCGGCCTCGGCTCGAGCAGGGGGGCCCTCGAGGGCGCGGGGCTCTCCGCGCGCTTCGCGGCTCGGCCCCGATGCCCCCTCCTCTGCTCCCCGGGGGGGGGGGGGCGGCGTGAGAGCGCCAAGCGCTTCGCGCTCCTCCTCCTCCTCCTCCCCTCCTCCTCCTTTTCCTCCTCCTCCCCCTCCTCCTCCTCCTCCTCCTCCTCCTCCTCCGCCTCCTCCTCCTCCTCCTCCTCCTCCCCCTCCTCCTCCTCCTCTTCCTCCTCCTCCTCCTCTTCCTCCTCCCTCCTCCTCCTCCTCCTCCTCCTCCTCTCCTCCTCCTCCTCCTCCTCCTCCTCCTCCTCTCCTCCTCCTCCTCCTCCTCCTCCTCCTCCTCCTCCTCCTCCTCCTCCTCCTCCTCCTCCTCCTCCTCCTCCCTCCTCTCCTCCTCCTCCTCCCTCCTCCTCCTCCTCCTCCTCCTCCTCCTCCTCCTCCTCCTCCTCCTCCTCCTCCTCCTCCTCCTCCTCCTCCTCCTCCTCCTCCTCCTCCTCCTCCTCCTCCTCCTCCTCTCCTCCTCCTCCTCCTCCTCCTCCTCCTCCTCCTCCTCCTCCTCCCCTCCTCCTCCTCCTCCTCTCCCCTCCTCCTCCTCCTCCTCCCCTCCTCCTCCTCCTCCTCCTCCTCCTCGGCCTCCTCCTCCTCCATTCCTCCTCCTTCCTCCTCCTCCTCCTCCTCCTCCTCCTCCTCCTCCTCCTCCTCCTCTCCTCCTCCTCCTCCTCCTCCTCCTCCTCCTCCTCCTCCTCCCTCCTCCTCCTCCTCCTCCTCCTCCTCCACTTCTTTTCCTTATACACAATGTCTCCCTGTCGCACCCAGAGGCCAGTTTTTAGGGCGGGCCGGGCGTTTCGCCTGAGACTTCCTCACCATTTATGGTTCTGAAGCTTCACAGATGGAGGGCGGGTGGTTTTCCGAATCTGGCTCTCGCCGTAGCGCCGCGCACATTCGTCATACAGACATTTGCAAGAGCTTCACGGATTGAGGACGGGTCGTTTTCAAAATGTGGCTCTCGCTTTGGCGCCGCGCATATTAGTTTTAGACTTTCCAAGAGCTTCACGGATTGAGGGCGGGTGGTTTTCAAAATGTGGTTCTCGCCTCGGCGCCGCGCACATTCGTTTAAACATTTGCAAGAGTTTGACGGATTGAGGGCGAGTGGTTTTCAAAATTTGGCTCTCGCCTCAGCGCCGCGCACATTCGTTTTAAACATTTGCACATTTGCAAGAATTTCACGGATTGAGGGCGAGTGGTTTTCAAAATGTGGTTCTCGCCTCAGCGCCGCGCACATTCTTTTTAAACATGTGCAAGGGTTTCACGGACTTCCCATGATCAACGTTCCAGAAATTGTGTTTTGGAAGGATTCTGGGTTATGGTGCAGCAGCTGCGTTGATTCGCGGTGTTGAAGTCCCAGGAATGGCGCTCTGACGCGATTCTTGATCGTCAAGACGCAGCAATCAGGTTGATCCGTGGCGTGGACATCCTTAGAACATGTTTTGGCATGCTTCGAGGTCTTCAAACGGTTATCTTCCAACGAGGCAGTTCCCTCAATGGAAATTAACCGTTGTAGGGGCCTATAAAGAGGGAGCTTGGAGGGGGGGGGTACTTCCAACATCGTTGATGACTCTTGGGTTTACACTGGTCCTCCTCCTCCTCCTCCTCCTCCTCCTTCCTCCCCTCCTTCCCCTCCTCCCCTCCTCCTTCCCCCCCTCTCCTCGCGCAGGCGCACGGGTCGGGCCAGCTGGACGCGGAGGACCAGGAGATCGCGGCCTACAAGGCTCGGGCCGGACGAAAGGTGAAGTCGGGGCTGTCCCTCCACCGGGGGAGTACTCAGAAATAGTCAAAAAATAGTTTGGGGAATCTGTTTTGAGTATTTTTGGGCATCTTTTGAATATTTGTTGAATATGTTTTATTTGTCGTCCAAAATCCCCCTGTAGAGGGACAGGCCCGACCTGAACGAAAGGGCATAGGTCGACCAAGAACCTCGACTAGACGTAAGAGTGACCTCTGGTGCGTGCCAAATTGGGTCCCCGGATCGCCGAGACCGACGCGATAGTAGCGTCTTGCGCGCTTGCGTTGGGCCCACCCCCGCGGCCCCCACAAGGCCGCGCACCAGAGGTCGCTCTTACCCGGGGTCACTCTTGCGTGTAGCCGAGAAGCACGCGACACCACCCCGCCTGCGGCGCGCCGTGCTGGATGTTTGCGACCCTGCCTCGATGTTTTTCGCGTGGGGCTTCCCTGCCGGCGACGGCGTGTGCTTCCTGTCCTATCGCAGGGAAGGGCGAAGAGCAACAAAGCGCCGCAAACATAAACTGTTGGCGCTGCGCGCGGAGTTCTTGGCTCCGCGCTGGGCTCCCGCGGCGGCGCCTCCGGCGCCGCCCCTGGCGTGCTCCACGCGCCAGGGAGGGGGGGTCCGGCGCAGATCCAAGAAATCCGCGCGGACCGCCGAAAGTTTATGTTTATGCCGTTCGTTCGTTTCCTACTTGGGTAGTTCGGTAGCAAGTCATGGGAGCTTGGTGATGCCGTCGTTAGCGTCGACTAGCGCCGATCAGCGCCCGGGAGTCGATGAGGTAGCGCCGATTTAGTAACAATCAGCGTCGATTTAGCGTCGATGAGCGTCGATTTCGCGTCGACCAGCGTCGATTCGCAAGAGCCGAGGCCCCCGTGAGTTGCAACCGAAAGGGTCGGGAAAGGGTGGGGGGCACGGAATCTGCTGCGTGCATGGCTGGTTTCTCGGCCCCGCCGCCAGGCCCATGCCTCGACACAGGGGCGCCTCCCGGCGCCAGGAGGCGCCAGGAAGGACCAACTTTTTTTTTAAACATTATTTTTGAACATGTTTGGTGTATTTTTCGCTTTCGTCCCAAATCCGCCTGTAGGGGGACATGCCCGACCTAAAGCTAAGTACGTGAGCTGCTACTCTACCCTGCTTTTTGCCGTCCTACCCTGAGGAGGGGAAACACATGCAGACACAAATAATCGTCGATTCCCCAAGAGATATAGGAAACGCCAGAGGCTCCCCAGATCTCCCCAAGACGGCCCGAGAGGCCTCCAAGAAGGCCCCCAAACAGCCCAAGAGGACCCCAAGACAACCCAAAACGCTTCCAAGACGGCCCCAGATGCCCCCAAAACGGCCCCAAGAGCGTGCCCAGACGGGGGACTCGAACGGACATTTCGAGCCTTCGGCCCTAAGAGGCTCCCAGGAGGCCCCTGGAGGTTCCTCAGAGGCCCACTAGAGGTCCCCAGGAAGCTCGAAGAGGCCCCCAAGAGCCCCCAAGAGGCTCCCAAGAGGCCCCCAAATTCCCCCCCAGAGGCCCCCGAGAGAGTTCCGAAGAGACCCCAAAAACCATCCCTGAGCAGTCTGGCCCACGTCAGCGTCGTCGTCGTTGCCGCCACCGCAGCCGCCGCCGCCGCCGCCGCCGCCGCCGCCGCCGCCGCCGCCGCCGCCGCCGCCGCCGCCGCCGCCGCCGCCGCCGCCGCCCGCCGCCGCCGTCGTCGTCGTCGTCGACGTCGTAGATGTCGTGGCCGTCGTCGTCGCCGTTCGTCGTCGCCGCCGTCGTCGTCGTCGTTCGTCGTCGTCGTCGTCGTCGTCTCCTTTCAGGGTCGGCGGCACTGGCCGTAAGGTCTTCGCCATAATCTTCGATTTCTGATAAGATATGGGAAACTATGGGAAGTGGGGGGAGGGGGGTAGCCGAATGCCCAGATAAGAAATATGGAAGCATAGGGGGAGTCCAGGGACTTGTGTGCCGACGTGTGTGTGTGTGTGTGTGTATGTGTGTGTGTGGTTGTGCGTGTGTGTCCCTGGGGCCCTTTATTGCTATCCTCCTCGTCCTCCTCTTCGTCCTCCTCCTCCTCCTCCTCCTCTTCCTCCTCCTCATCCCCTCCTCCTCAACCTCCTCCTCCTCCTCCTCCTCCTCCGCAGACTCAAGGTTGCGTCGTTGGCAACCGGGTGGAAGACATAAGATGCGCGTCGGCAACGGCACTTGTTTTTTCCCTCCTCTCCTTCTCCTCCTCCTCCTCGTGCTCCTCCTCCTCCTCCTCCTCCTCCTCCACCTCCTCCTCCTCCCCCAGAGCAAGGCGAAGCTGCAGGCGGCCGCGGAGGCGAGGCCCGCGGCGGCCGAGGCTGCGAGGGCGGTGGAGGCGGCGGCGCAGGCGAAGGCCGAGACCCAGGCCTGCCCCCCCCCCCCCCGAAAGAAGAACATTTCGGCCTATCCTGCTGCTCCTCCTGCTGCTGCTCCTGCTGCTCACCCTCCTCCTCCTCCTGCTGCTCCTCTTCCTCCTCCTCCTCCTGCTGCTGCTCGTCCTCCTGCTGCTACTCTTCCTCCTCTCCTTCTCCTCTTCGTCTTCCTGCTCCTCCTGCTCCTCCTGCTCCTCGTCCTCCTCCTCCCCCTCCTTTTCCTGCTTCTCCTCCTCCTCCCCCCCTTTTCCTGCTTCTCCCTCCTCCTCCTCCTTCTCCTCCTCCTCCTGTTGCTCCTGCTGCTGCCTGCTCCTCCTCCTCTCCTCGTCCTCGTCCTCGTCCTCCTCCTCCTCCTCCTCCTCCTCCTCCTCCTCCTCCTCCTCCTCCTCCTCCTCCCCCTCGTGAGATCCAAGCCTGGTCTCCCCCCAAAAAACATTTCGGCCTCCCAGATGAGCGACGTGAGGTCCAGGCCTGTGCTCCCCCGAAACCAGGAAAGTCTCGCTTCCCAGATGAGCGACGCGATATCCAGGCCAGGGTTCCCCCTAAGAGAAAATCTCGGCCTCCCAGACGAACGACGTAAGAACACGGGGTCGTCTGCACGGGCACGGGCGAGCAAGCTGCCCGCGTAATCGGGGCTCGAGGGACGGGGGTCAACACAAGCGGGGGTCGGTCAGAGCGCCCGATCCTGCATGATCCTGCAGGGCCAGGGGTACATTGACCTGGGCTTGCGTGCAGGATCTGGCAGGATCCTGCAAGGCCTGACTGACCCAGGTTTGCATTGACTCGGGCCAGTACTTCACCGACATAAGGTCGCGCGCGTGAGCGCCCTCGTTACCAGTGTGGAGTGCCACGCTTGCGGCCCGCGTGAGCCGCCGCGTAAGGTCGCTGCGCCATCAGACGTAAGACCCGTTTGCTTTCGTCGCTCAGGTGGGGTTAGGGCAGATGGGGGCCGGATGATCGCGCCGCATCGTCGATGCATCGGCGATGCGGCTCGAAGGCGGAGCCAGATTTTCTCCGCGCCGGCGTCGCCGATACACCTCCGACGTCGCCCGATGCGTCGGTGATGCATCGCCGATGTCGATGCATCGACGATGCATCGGCGATGCGGTGCGATCCTCCGACCCCATCTGCTCGGACCCCATTTGGGAGGCCTCCGTTGGAGAGGCCTGCCGGCCAGAGCCGCCGACCTCGGAGAATGAGCTCCGTGATGCAGGAGGCGTTCGGAGGTGTTCGGGAAGATCGCAGGGCTCGCGAGAGGATTCCGAGCTTGCTACTAGAGGGCTCCGTGATGCAAAAAGCTCTCTAAAGGGAATCCAGCGACGAGGAGGAGGAGGAGAAGGAGGAGGAGGAGGAGGAGGAGGAGAAGGGACCGAGGAGGAAACGAAGGAGGAGGAGAAGGAGGAGGAGGATAAGGAGGAGTTTCTTGGGGGCCTTCTTATGGTTTCCGCATGTTGCTCTCTTGGGGGCCTCTTGAATCGTCTCGGGGGAGTCTTGGGGGCCCCCAGGGCCGTTGTCGCGCGTCGGGAGCTCGATACAAGGCGAGAACATGCCAGAACCCAAACAACATTGCAAAAACAATGGAACATCAATGGTTTTTGCATCTCGGTGCCCTCAGGAGCCTCGTGGGAGCCTCGTTTGATCCTCTTGGGGTCTCCTGAGCCCTCTTGGGGCAGAAGTCTCGAATTGTCCGTTCGTGTTCACCCTCTTGGGCCCTTCTTGGGGCCTTTTGGAGCATTATTGAGCGCCTTTGGGGCCGTTTTGGAGCCCTCTTGGAGCCCTCTGGGGGGCCCACTTGGGGGCCTCCTGGCCGTCTTGGAGAAGTCCTGGTAGCCTCTTGGGTCGTCTTGGGACGTCGGAAGCTCAAAAAGGCGAGAATGCCAACATCAGTCAAAAACCGCAGGCGAACCAGTGATTTTGGCCTCTTCGGGCCTTGCCAGAGGCTTCCTTGAAGCCGCCTTGGGCCGTCTTGGAGATCTCTTGGGCCGTCATGGAGGCCTCTTGGCCCATGTTGGCGCCCCTGGTGGTCGTTCGATAAGCCATCTTGGGTATCTCCGACGCCTTGGAGAGCGCCAGGGGCGTGTCTGGGTGCCTGGGGCGATGCGCGCGCCTGCGTGCTAACGTTAGGCGGTGGTCCCTGAGAAGATTGCGCAAGCCCTGTCCGACAGCACTTGAGCGACGCAAAAAAACGGGGTCGTCTTCACTGACATAGGCGCGTAAGCTGCTCGCGTAAGGTCGCGCGTGAGCGCCCTCGTCTCCACTGCAGCGTGCCGCGCTGGCGGCCCGCGTAAGTCGCCGCGTAAGGTCGCCATGCCAACTCGACTCGCGCAAGTCCCGCTTTGGATCGCCGCCCAGCTGGGATTTCACAGCGCCTCAGCGTGCCAGGGAGTACGGTGGCGGAGCTCGCAGGCCGAGTACGTACGGTAGGTTTGCGTCGTGTCGACCAGCGGCGACCCCAGCGCGGGCGTTCAAGGTTGAACGCCGCCGGCGACCCAGAATCGATCGATGTTGAACGATCGGACGTTGCGGCAGCGGCCGATCGTTCAAGGTTGAATGATCCCTGCGGTGTCAAAAACCAACGCTGGGGTCGGCACGACACGAACCTGCCGTACGCAGGCGTAAGTTGGCATCCCAGAGTCTGGTGATTCGCTGGCCCAGCGAGTCAGGCGTGCTGAGACCTCCGGCAGCCGGATCTGTATAGTCTGTAGTGCGTGCGCGCGGGGCCGCCCCCGGGGGTCCCTGGACGAGGAGTACCCCCAAGTAATCGTCGACTCTCAGGAAAATATTGGGAAATGCGGGAAGTGGGGGGGAAGGCGAAAACCCAGAAATATTGGAAAAGATGGGGGATCCTGGGATTTGTGTCCGTTCATTTGCGTGTCCCAGGGCCCAGACCTCCCGGCAAAATCTTGGCAAGGTCCCGGTAAGGTCCCGGCAGACTCGGATCATAGACGGTTTTGCTCCAGGGGGCGGTTTTCGGGGCCTTCCAGATCGCCCCAGGAGCGGCCCAAGGAATCTCAAGGCAGCTTCAAAAGGGCCCACGAATCGGAATCACGGCCGCAGAGGACCCCAAAGAGGGCCAAAAGAAACAAGCATAATTGATTACCCTTGTGCTTTTTATTTTTATTTTTCGTTCTCGCGTTTTCGGGCTTCCGACGCTCAAAGATGGCCCCAGAGGCTCCCAAGACCGCCCCAAGACGGACCGAGAGGCCACCGAGACGGCCCCAAGACGGTCCAAGAGGGCCCCCAAACGGCCCCAGAGGCGCCCGAGACCGCCCAGGCGGGCCCCAAGACGGCCCCAAGAGGGGCCCAAGAGGGAAACACGAATCACCAGTTCGAGCCTGCCGCCACAAGAGGCTCCTAGGAGGCCCCAAGAGGCCCCCAAGAGTTACGTCGGGCCTGTCCTTCTACAGGGGGAATATTCAGAAATAGTTACAAACACCAGATGGGGACTATTTTTACCCATTTGGGAAGTATTTTTTTAGTATTTCTAATTTTTCGCCCAAAATCCCCTTGTATGGGGACATGCCCGACCTAACCCAAGAGAGCCCAGGAGGCCCCCTGGAGGCACCCAGGAGGCCCCCTAAGAGGCACCAAGACAGGCCCCCAGACGGCCCCCAGGAGGTCTCAAGGGGCCACGAACGCGCAGGCAAACGCTCAGGGCTGGACCTGAACGGTGTTTTGGCGATTTCGTGGGCCGTTTTCGTTTCGACTCCGTTTTGCGGTAGAGGTGGATTGAAGACAAAGCGAGGGAAAACGAAAACAAAACGAAAACGAAAAACACCGTTTAGGCTCAGCCCTGCAAATGCCTGCGATGGCACAATATTCTAGGCCTCCTAGGTGGGGTCCGAGCAGATGGTGTTGGAGGATCGTGCCGCATCGTCGATGCATCGTCGGCGCGGCCCCATGCGGAGCCCGATTTTCTCCACGCTGGCGTCGCCGATGCAACGCCGATGTGTCGGCGATGCCGCGCGATCCTCCGACCCCATATACTCCGACCCCATCTAGGAGGCCTCTGCATACGGGGCCGGCGGAATGAGCGAAGCGACGACGTAATCAAAGGGGGCCCAAATCCAGGCCGAGACCGACCGGGAAGCGGCGGCCGCTGCGAAGGAGGAGGCGGAGGCCAAGGCCAAGGCGAAGGCGGGGGCTCAGAGGAGGAGAGGGAACGGTAGCAGGTTCGCGTCGTGTCGACCTGGCGGGGACCCCGTCGCCGGCGTTCAACGTTGAGTACCGCAGCCCCGCGCAGAGGGGGGTGGGGGGAGGGGGGGGGCTTCTTGGAACCGGAGGTTGACAGACCTCCTACTCTGACGGGTCGATTCGCGAATTGGCCGTTTTCGGTTCGCGAGAGGGCGTCGCGGCCGTAATTTTTGCGGATCCAGGTCCGTCGGTTTCGGTCTTAGGTCGTTTTCATGAAAGGGAGATTTGCTATAGGGAGGTTTGTCCTCCGCCGATAGAAGCACCCCTGCTTCTTAGAAGACGCGGGCCTTGTCTGTAGATGTAGGCCCCGCGTCTCCTAAGCAGCAGCCTCCTTCTGAGAGGCCCTCCCCCCTCCCTCCACCCCCTGGTGCGCACCGCCGAGAACCGCCGGCGACCCAGAGTCGGCAAATCGTTGAACGATCTGACGTTTCGGAAGCGGCCGATCATTCGAGGTTGAACGATCCCCGCGGTGACAGGAACCAAAACCAGGGTCGACACGGCACAACCCGCCCTCCTCCTCCTCCTCCTCCTCCTCCTTCTCCTCCTCCTCCTCCTCCTCCTCCTCCTCCTCCTCTTCCTCCGCCTCATCAGCATCATCAGCATCATCATCATCATCATCATCATCATCATCACCATCATCGCACCGATACCGCCAGCCTGGCCTCGTTTTCGCTTGTTCGGACCTGCTGGGAGGCCCTCGTCGCCACGCTGGATTCGTGTCGAAGTCTGGTCAGAACTCGGCCACGCGCAGAGGGGGGTTAGGGGGAGGGGGGAAGCCTAATTACTCCCTATTCGAATGCAACTACTGGGAGGTCAAATTCTGACTTTGCCCTGGTCCGAAATCTGGTGTTCATCGGCCTAATCCCGCTTGCTCCCGCTTAGTCCAGCTCAATCTGGCTCAATCCAGCTGAATCCGCGGCCTCATCCAGCGTGGTAGCCCCCCGCTGAGGCTTAGTTTTCTTTGATCAATCCGATGAAGACCTCCCAGTAGTTGCCTCCAATCGGCGTCATCCCAACATATCAATGCTATGTGTGCGTCGCCCCCCCAGGGGCGACGCACGCACCGAGAAATCTTACAGTACATGCGTCGTGGTGGGCGCTTTCTGGCCACACCGCTCGGGAAGCGATCTACTACAAGATGGGCGCACCAGATGCTCGGGTCAGACGCGCGCCTCCGAGGAGAGCATTTCGTACCAGTATGTCTATGTGCGTCCCCTTCCCAGACCCCCGATGTCGTGATCTTGTCACAACTTCGACCCCAGAGGTCTGGACCCCTTCCCCGGGACCAGCCTGACATTCAGAGTCAATGTTTGACGGTCCCGAGGCCTGGTGAGGGCCCCCAGTGGCCGAAAATAGCGAAACATTGCCCGTTTTTTTTTTTAGGCCAGGGGGTCTGGGTTGTGCGCGCCGCCAGAGGGCGCACCCCCGGGAGACGTGCGGGGAGCAGCGGCATCGGCACTTCTCGGCTCTGACCCCTGGGAGGCGGAGGCGGAGGCTCGCGCAGAGGCGCAGGCCGCCCGCGAGGAGCAGGAGGCCGCGGCAAGGGCCGAGGCGGAGCGGAAGGCGGAGGCGGAGATCCAGGGTTCCCGAAGGGCTTGTCGATTTTTTGCCAATCGACTTGTGGGAATCGAGCCAGATAAATCCAGGTAAATTGCAGATGAATCCAGATAAATCCCAGTAAATCCTGGTAAATCGAGAAATCCAGGTAGTTCCACGTAAATCCAGAGATCTCCAGGGAAAGTTGGAGCAAATCGCGGCCGCTCCAGCGCGAGTCGAATGACGGCAGAAGTCGTGAAGCCTTTGACGACAGGGTTATGATGTTCTTACCTGCTTTAGCCTTGACCACCAGAAAGAAGTTCGATATCCAGGAAAATACCGAAGCTGGAAGGCTTTTGCGTGTTGGGCCCCGGGAGGCGATACTCGCTCGACACTGTATCGATACTGTTCGGGGTGCTCGAAATCATCTCTGGGATGTGGTCCTCGAGTACGATGGAAGCAACATAACGATAGAGGGAAATTGGCAGAGGTTCTCGGTCGTTTTCGATTCGAGGTTCCAGGTTTTCGGTCGTCTTCGTCGGTTCGCGGCGGCTTTCCAGCCTCGGGATGCGTTCCAGCAACTTTGCCTCGTCGAGGGCGTTCCGGGGGTGCTGGAGTCGTTTATCATATGGCCGCCGGAGGCCCGAGCCATGGCCCGGAAACCATCATAGGCATAGGGTAGGACACGTGGACCCCCAATCGCTCAATGATCGCCGATAGGGGGCCCGATAGCCCCAACCTGCCCAGGAACGCTCGGATCCACCAGCAGAGACTCATCGCCGATCCATCGGCGGTGTATCGCCGATTCCAGGGCGATGTGCCCCCACTGAGCCAGCCCCGCCCTATCGTTGCCCCTCAGAGGCGGAGGCCAAGGCGAAGGCCGAGGCGGAAGCTCGGGCTGCCAAGGAGGCGGAAGAGAAGGCGAAGGCGGAGGCCAAGGCCAAGGCAGAGGCAGAGGCGGCGGCTAAGGCGGCGGCGGAGGCCAAGGCGGTGGCGGAGGCAGAGGCCAAGGCTGATGCGGCGGCGGCGGAGGCCCAGGCGGCGGAGGATCGCGTGGCCAAGGCAAACAAGGCGGCGGCAGAGGCCAAGGCGGCCGCCGCGGCAGAGAGGTGGCGGCCGTGGAAGTCGAAGGCGTCGCAGGCCCACGCCAAGGCAGCGGCGGAGGCCGACGCCACGGCGCAGGCGGCGGCTCAAGCGAAGAAGAAGGCCGAGGAGCTCGCCACAGAGGTGGCGAAGGCGAAGACGGCAGGCGCGGCGTCCAAAACAGAGGCGGGTGCGGAGGCCAATGCGGTGGCGGAGGCAGACACGGAGGCGCAGGCCAAGACGGCATCGGAGGCGCAGGCTGAGGCAAAAGCAGAGGCGCAGGCCAGCGCAGAGGCGGAGGCGGAGGCAGCGAAGGCGGAGGCAGCAGAGGCGGAGGCCAAGGAGGCAGCAGAGGCGGAGGCCAAGGCGAAGGCAGAGGCCGACGCCAAGGCGGATGCGGAAGCAGCAGGCGGAGGCCAAGGCGAAGGCAGAGGCCGACGCCAAGGCGGATGCGGAAGCACAGGCTGAGGCACAGGCGGCTGCGGAAGCGAAGGCTAAGGCGGAAGCGGAGGCAGATGCCAAGGCGAAGGCGGAGGCTGAGGCAGAGGCCAACGCGGCAGCCGAGGCGGAGGCCAAGGCGAAGGCCGAGGCCGAAGCCCAAGCAAAGGAAGAGGCGGAGGCCAAAGCCGAAGTGGAAGCCAAAGCAAAGGAAGAGGCGGAGGCCAAGGCGAAAGCAGAGGCAGAGGCCATGGCGAAGGCAGAGGCGGAGGCCATGGCGGCCAAAGAGAAGGCAAAGGCGGAGGCAGAGGCCACGGCAAAGGCGGAAGCGGAGGCGGAGGCCAATGCAGTAGCTGAGACACAGGCAGACGAGGATTTCTTGGTCCGGGTGAAGGCTGAAGCGGATGCTCAGTCTGACAGGGAAGCAGAAGCGATGGAGAGGGCAGCGGCAGAGGCAGAAACGAGGATGAAGGCAGAGGCAGAGGCGGCGGCAAAGGCGGAAGCTGAAACGGAGGCTGCCGAAGAGGCACAGGCCAAGGCAGAAGCGGATGCGCAAGCGAAGGCTGCGGCAAAAGCCCAGGCGAAAGCGGATGAGGAGGCAAAGGCAGAGGCGGCTGCCAAAGCCGAATCGGAGGCAAAAGAAAAAGAAGAGGCGGAAGCCAAGGCGAAAGCAGAGGCGGATGCCCTGGCAAGGGCGGAGGCGGAGGCCATGGCGGCAAAAGCAAAGGCAAAAGCGGAGGCGGAGGCAGAGGCCATGGCGGCGAAGGCAGAGGCGGAGGCCACGGCGGCCAGGGCGAAAGCAGAAGCGGAGGCCGAGGCAGCTGCTAAGGCGAAGGCGGAGGGAGAGGCCAGGGCTAAGGCAGAGGCGGAGGCCGAGGCCGAGGCCAAGGCGAAAGCAGAGGCTAAGGTCAAGGCGGAGGCGGAAGCGATTTCCAAGGCTGCAAAAACGGCCACAACGACAGGCGCAGCGCCCGCTGCAGCCGCAGCCGCTGCTGCTGCTCCTCCTCCTCCTCCTCCTCCTCCTCCTCCTCCTGGGAATAGGAAGAGGAGGAGGAAGAGGAATAGGACTAGGACTAGGAATATGAATATGAAAATGAATAGGAATAGCACTAGGACTAGGACTAGGACTAGGAATGATAATAGGAATAGGGCTAGGGCTAGGACTAGGACTAGGAATAGGAATAGGAATAGGAATTGGAGGAGGGGGTTGAGGAGGAGTTGGACAAAACAGAGGAGGAAAAAGAGGAGGAGGAGGAGGAGGAGGAGGAGGAGGAGGAGGAGGAGGAGGAGGAGGGAGGAGGAGGAGGAGGTGGAAGAGGAGAAGGTGGAGGAGGAGGGGGGGGGGGGAGGGGGGCAGCGACCGCTGCTGAAAATGGGGCCTCTCAGGGCCCCGAAAGGGGGGCCTTTGGGTCCCCAAGGGGAGCCTGCAGGGCCAGAAAAGTGCACCTGCCTCCCCCCCCGCCCCACTTGTCGCTCCCCCCCCCAGTAAGCAACGCTCAACCGAAGGCCAGACGATGAGGATTACTGAGGGGGGCAGGCCTGCCCTTCGGCCTTCCGAGAAACCCCGCCCAGGCGTCCAGCTCACTGACACACTCAATGCGGCGTTTTTTTTTCGGTCTTCGGACTCCCTCGCTGGATCTTGAGACCAGCAGAGAACGACTCGGGGTGAAACACCGGCCCTGGGGAAAGGGTTGGGACCCTCGGGGACCCTGGACCGGATGTCTCGAGTAGGGGATCGACTCCGGAATCGATTTACCCCAGAATTGATCTGTTCGTGGAATATGCAAGCAAGTGCGCAGCGTGTGTGCAGGTGTACGAGCCTCTTCTGCATGCTTGCCTGCAGCTCCGACGAAACATTCCATTCTGGGGTAGATCAACTCTGTAGTCGGTCCCCGACTCGAATGTCTGGGCCTGTGGCTCCGGGGCAGGCTCAGAGCGGGCGGCGCGCTCGGGGGGGAAGCGAGACGGGGCGGGCCTTCTCGGGCGGCTCGGAAGCCCCCGGGCGCTGTGCGAAGCTCCCCGAGCCCTCCCCGAGGACGCGGGAAACCTCCTCCTCCTCCTCCTCCTCCTCCTCCTCCTCCTCCTCCTCCCCCCTCCTCCTCCCCCCCTCCTCCCCCTCCCCCCTCCCCCCTCCTCCCTCCTCCTCCTCCTCCTCCTCCTCTCCTCCTCCTCCTCCTCCTCCTCCTCCTCCTCCTCCTCCTCCTCCTCCTCCTCCTCCCGGAGGCCTTCTCTGAGAAGCCCCGCCGCCCTCTGCGAAGGCCTCCTCCTTCTCCCTCCCCCCCCCCGCTCGCCGCTCTCTGCATGGGCTCCTCGGCGGGCGCGGGGCCCCCCCGGAGCATGCTCGGGGGGCCTCCGGCCGCCCGAGAGGGCCCTCCCATCGGGGCAGAGGGGGGCGAAAGGGCAGGACGGCCAGAGGCCGGGGAGGAGGAGGAGGAGGAGGAGGAGGAGGAGGAGGAGGAGGAGGAGGAGGAGGAGGGGAAGAATACCAAAAGGAGGAGGAGGAGGAGGAGTACGTAGGAGGATTGACTCATCAAGCTTGAAGCCCCCCCCCCACCGACCCCCCTCTGCGCGGGGCCGGCCCCTCTCGTCAGACCCCCCCCCTCAGGCGGGCGGGCATGGTCGGGATGTTCCGGAGGCCTCGGGCCCTCCGAGGGGCTCTCCAATCGGAAGGGGGGGGGGCGAGCGGGCAGGAGAGCACAGGGCAGGTCACAGAGCGTGCGCCACTGCTCGCAGGGTGCCTGCTCGCAAACGTCCGAGAAACAACATGCCTGCCTCGATGTGAGTTCTCGTAGGTCCCCCGCGGCGGATACAGGCCATTTGCGAGCAGTTCGTTTGCGAGCAGTGGAGCGCGCTGGTCTAGGAGGGTAGAGAATCACAGTGCTGAGGAATCGATGCTTCCGGCATCCCGAGGCCATCTTCGGGGGTCCTCGAGGGGCCCTGCGTGGGGGCCGTTCGGGCGGTCTCGAGGCAGGCTTGGGCAGCCTTGGGCCGTGCCTTGGGCCCTCGTGAGGGCCTCCGGGGACGCCGTGGGTCCGTCATTGGCACGTACAGGCTCCCCGCCTCGCACGGATTGATATGAGGACTTCGTCGGACGAAAAGGCTGGAGGAGGACAAGAGGAGGAGAGGAGGCTGCAGAAGAGGAGGAGGAGTATAAGGAGGGTGAGGATGAAGGCAACGACGAGGAGCATCAACAAAAGGATGGGGATGATGACGATGACGATGACGATGACGATGACGATGACGATGACGATGACGATGACGATGACGATGACGATGACGATGATGATGATGATGATGATGATGATGATGATGATGATGATGATGATGATGATGATGATGATGATGATGATGATGACGACGACGACGACGACGACGACGATGATGATGATGATGATGATGATGATGATGATGATGATGATGATGATGATGATGATGATGATGATGATGATGATGAGGGTGACAATAATACTGCTACCAATAATGACCTACCTGACTTGCGCTGGCTGTAGGCGGTGCTCGGAGCCCTCGTGTGGCGGCGGCAGCGTGTAGAGAAAAAGCCCAGCAGCAGGAGGCCCGGCGCCCCCTGCCCGGAGGGGAGAGCACTCGCACCGGGAGCAAGGGCACGCGGAGATGCGTCACGACAGAACTCGTGCCCCAGGTTGTTCAGGAGGGGAAAAAACACACAGACACAATTAATCGTCGATCCCCAGGAAAATATGGGAAAAAATGGGAATTTGGCGGGAAGACAAAAAACCCAGAAAATATGGGAAAATATGGGGAATCCTTTTATTTGTGTGTTTTTATTTGTGTGTCCCAGTTTCCCTGTAGTTGTGTCGTCTGGCCTGCCGCGGCGCACCTGCTCCTGCACATCCACTTCGGCACCGCCTGCACCCCAGGGCTTCGCCCACTCCGGGCCGCCCGAGGCCCCGCCTTCCTGTGCCCTGCCTCCCTGATTTGCAGCTGTGCGTGGCCCGCCTGGCCTTTCTAGCGGAAGAGGTGCGCTCTCGCCCCGCGGATCAAAAGTGGTGTCGTCTGGCCCTTGCTGGGCGCTGGTGGCCAGAAGGGGCCAGCAGAGCAATTCCACGCTTGCGTGCACCAGGGCCGCGCCAGGGCGGGGCTAGAGCGCGCGTCCGGGTGTCGGCTCGAAGATTGGCGGCCTCATGCGCCACACGGTCGCGCAAAACTGCGGCGGATACGGTGGCACGTGTTACCCGTGTGTTGTTTCACACTCTATGACCCCATGTTGGCGTCCAGGATACGAGTGAAACAACTGTTTCTTCTACACGGTTTTGGGGGTGACCTGTGTCACCCGTATGTTGTTTCACTCTTTGTGGGCCCACATTGTCGTCCACGGTACGAGTGAAACAACTGGTTCGTCTCACGCGGTTTTCGGGCTGACACGTGTCACCCGTGTGTTGCTTCACACGCTATGGCCCCATGTTGGCGTCCAGATTTCGAGTGAAACAATTGTTTTTTCCCACACGGTTTTCGAGGTGGCACGTGTCACCCGTGTGTTGTTTCACATTCTATGGCCCCATGTTGGCGTCCAGACTACGAGTGAATGAATTGGTTTTTCTCACACGGTTTTCGAGGTGGCACGTGCCACCCGTGTGTTGTTTCACACTGTTGGGGCTCATGTTGCCGTCCAGAATGCGAGTGAAACCATTGTTTTTTGTCACAAGTTGTTCGGGGTGACACGTGTCACCCGTGTGTTGTTTCACTTTCTGTGGGCCCATGCTATCGTCCAGACTACGAGTGAAACACTTTCTTTTTCTCAAACAGTTTTCGAGGCGACATGTGTCACCCATGTGCTGTTTCACACTCTATGGGCCCATGTCGGCGTTCAGACTACGAGTGGAACAATTGTTTTTTCTCACACGCTTTTCCAGGTGACACGTCTCACCCGTATGGTGTTTCACATTCTATGGCCCCATGTTGCCGTCCAGACTACGAGTGTCGGGGGTGGACAGAACCCCCAACAGTGACACGTCGATTAGTGAATTGTCCGTTTTCGGTTCTCGAGAGGGCGCCGCGGCCGTTATTTTCCAGGCGTGCGCCCGCCAGGTTTGGGCCTCAGGTCGTTTTCACTAAACCACGTTTTACTAAAGGGAGGTCTGTCCATCCCCGAGAGTGAAACAATTGTTTTTTTCTCACGCGGTTTTCGAGGTGGCACGTGTCACCCTTGTGTTGTTTCACACTGTATGGCCCAATGCTGGCGTACAGAATGCGAGTGGAACAATTGGTTTTCCCACACGGTTTTCCGGGTGACACATGTCACCCGTGTGTTGTTTCACATTCTGTGGGCCCATGTTGCCGTCCAGAATAAGAGTGAAGCAATTGGTTTGTCTCACGCGGTTTTCGGGGTGACACGTACTACCCGTGTGTTGTTTCACACGCTATGGGCCCATGTTGGAGTCCAGACTACGATTGAAACAATTGGTTTTTCTCCCACGGTTTTCGGGGTGACACGTGTCACCCGTGTGTCGTTCCACACTCTATGGCCCCATGTTGGCGTCCAGATTACGAGTGAAACACTTGGTTTTTCTCACACGGTTTTTGGGGTGACACGTGTCACCCGCGTGCTGTTTCACACTCTATGGCCCCATGTTGGTCCACACTGTATGGCCCCATGTTGGCGTCCATGTCGGATTCGCGCTCGGTTGCGCGCCCCCAGTTCGTTGTCGTCGTCGTCGTCGTTGCCCCGATCGACTCCACCTGGCGAGCATGGATCGGGAAGTCTGTGCAGATCTACGAAGGGACCCCCCTGGGGGCCGCCGCCACCTCTGGGGAAGCTCTTTCGCCTTCACCCCGCCCGCGATGTTTCTTGAGCCCGCCCCTCGGCGGCCGCCGCCAGCGGGAAATCCGTTCCCATGTCAAACCGCTCGATTTTTTTGTTGAACCCACCCCCAGCCAACGTGGCGCGGGGAAGGGTAGATGTGGGTAATATCTGAAAGCATCCTTTCTTGGCAGCGGAGCTGGGGAAGGGTCTTACCATGTCCCCTAATGGGGTTCGGTTTAGAATCCGATCCTTGCTTCAAAGCCCAGATTTGCAGGGAAAGGGAGTGATACAGAAGCATGCCCCCCTCGTGATCAACCATTTCATCAGGGCGGCCTGGCTCTTCCAGCGACGAGGATGATGGTGGTGGTGATGATGATGGTGGTGATGATGATGGTGGTGGTGGTGGTGACGACTGCGACGATGCCGATGACGACGATGACGATGCTGACGATGACGATGCTGACGATGACGATGACGATGATGATGATGCTGATGATGCTGGTGATGATGATGATGCTGTTGATACTGATGATGATGATGCTGGTGCTGATGATGACAATAATGACGACGACGACGACGATGATGATGATGATGATGATGATGATGATGATGATGAGGATGAGGATGAGGGTGAGGATGAGGATGAGGATGATGATGATGATGATGATGATGATGATGATGATGATGATGATGATGATGATGATGATTATTAGGAGGATGGTAATGAGGATGAGGGTGAGGACGAGGATGGGGATGCGGATGAGGATAAGGATGAAGTCACAAATGTGGATGAGGATGAAGATGAGATTGACGCCGTCGACGTTGTTGAGGATAATGCTGATGATGCTGCTGATGGTGATGATGATTATGACGATGACGACGATGAGGAATATGATGCTGCTGCTGATGATGATGATGGCGATGATGATGAGGCTGCTGATGATGATGATGATGCTGATGCTGATGATGATGATGATGCTGATGATGATGATGATGATGATGATGATGATGATGATGATGATGATGCTGACGACGACGACGACGACGACGACGACGACGACGACGACGACGACGACGACGATGATGATGATGATGATGATGATGATGATGATGATGATGATGATGATGATGATGATGATGCTGATGATGATGATGTTGATACTGATACTGATGATGATGCTGATGATGATGATGCTGCTGCTGATGCTGATGCTGCTGATGATGCGGATGCGGATGATGCGGATGATGAGGATGATGACGATGACGAATACGACGATGAAGATGTGGATGTGGAGGACGACGACGACGACGGCGATGAGGTGGAGGAGGATGAGGAGGAGGAGGAGGAGGAGGAGGAGGAGGAGGAGGATGAGGGGGAGGAGGAGGAGGAAGGGCAGGAGGAGGAGGAGGAGGAGGAGGAGGAGGATTACGACGACGACGGCAACGACAGCGAGGAGGAGTATGATGTTGGTGGACTTGGTGGACAAGGAGGAGGATGGAGGATGAGGAGAAGGTGGATGACGAGGAGGAGAAGGGGGGATAGGAACAGGAAGAGGGCTGTGTGGCCCAGCGCCTCGTCACACACCCGAGGACATCTTGGCACGGAGCCCCGTTCTGTGGCACAGCTCGGCAGCACAGTTGCACGCGCTGCTCCTCACTGGCAGCGCCCCGGAGCCCTGCGTGCTGCGGCGTGCACGTCCAGAGGGAGCGTGCTGCTGGGGCCGTCGACCCGGCGCGGCGTCTCTCCTGCCCTTGCGTGAAACATGTGTGTGTGTGTGTGTGTGCAGACGGGGAAGGAGGAGGAAGCGGGAGGATGAGGAGGAGGAAGAGGAGCAGGACGAGAAGGAGGAGGAAGAGGAGGAGGAGGAAGAGGGAGGAGGAAGAGGAGGAGGAGGAGGGTCTGAGGAAGAGGAGGCAAGTTGCCCTGGACCGCTTTCGGGCACAGTCCCCGCCGCCTGCGGCTGGACGGCCCTCGGCGCATTGCTCCTCCAGTTTTGTTGCCTTCCCCCCCCCCCTCGCCGTTAAACTCGGGGAGGTTGGTGAACTACATAGCCTAGGAAAGTGAAGGTAGCAAGCCTGATGCAAGTTTGTGCATAGCATTGTGTAGCAGCGTGCGGACATGAGCTATCCCACATCATGGGATTGTGCATCGCGGCGTTCGCGGTGCAAGCTATCGTGTCCGTAACCGTTGGCTCAAGCATCCGAGCGTGGAGGAAAAGAGCGCCCTATTCTTTCCCTCCCATCTGCGATCACTCCCGCGAGTTTCGTACTCGCGCATGGTAGCGGAGCCTGCGGTTTGAATCCGCGGCTCCCCCTAGGAAACGGGTAGCCCCGCGCCTGGGAAGCCCACTAGGCAGCGGTTAGCCCCGCGCCTGGTTGGGACCCGCGACCTGCGGTAGCCCCGCGGTCTGCGGCAGTACATGCCCAGCAAGCGCGGCGGGCGCTCCGTCGGCGCCCGCGCGCGTCGTTCCGGCGGGGACGATGGAGGAGTTGGCCCAGCGGCTGCAGGCCATGGAGGCGCGGCAGCAGGAACTGGTGCAGGAGCTCCAGCGGCAGCAGCAGCGCGGGCAGGCCGCGGAGCAAGGCCTGCAGGCGGCGCAGGCCGAGCTCGCGCAGCTTTGTGCCGCGCCCGCGGCGGCACCGCAGCAGCCGCTACTGGAGCGCCTTGGCGGCGCGACCGTGGACACGCGGACCCTGGGGAAGCCGGCGAGCTTCTCAGGGCGCCGCGAGGCGTGGCGGGAGTTCCGTTTCGTCTTCCATGCCTTCGCCTGCGCCGCGCATGCCATCATGGCGGAGCTCTTCACGCGCGTGGAGGCGATGGGAGCCAATGTCGTGGAAGGTCAAGATCTCGACGAGGCCACGGCCGCCTTGAGCCGCCAGCTGTGTTAAATGCTGGTGATGACGACGACGGACGACGCTCACCTTCTCCTGCACAACGTGGTGGAGGGCAACGGCGCAGAGGCCTGGCGGCGGCTATGCTGGGAGCACGAACCAGACGTGCGAGTCCGCCATGGCGCAGTGCTGCACGCACTCCTGCGCCGCGAGTTCGGCAAGGACCCGAACGGCGACCTCGCGAAGGAGATCGAGAGCTTGGAGCGGGACGTCCGGCGTTGCGAGAATCAGAGCGGGAAGGTGCTGGACGAGGACGTCAAGATCTCGACGTTGGTGGGCGGCATGCAGAACACGAAGGTCCGGGATCACCTCCTGCTCAACGCCGCTCGTCTGGACACGTTCCAGAGGCTGCGGGCGGAGGTCCTGAATTTCGCCGTGGCCAAGCGGACGTGGGCCCAGGACGTCGACGACCCCATGCTGATCGGAGCCGTCAAGGACGGCAAAGGCAAGACCTCCAAGGGCAAGGGGAAGGACTCCAAAGGGAAAGGAAAGGACTCCAAGGGCAAAGCCAAGACCAAAGACACCCACAACCCCGCCTCGGGCAAGGAGTGCCACTACTGCGGGAAGCCCAACCACTTCAAGAACGAGTGCAGGAAGCTCAAGGCCGACATCAAGGCCGGGAAGGTGGACGCGAACGGCAAGCCACTGCCAGGAGCAGGAGCCCGCAGCGTGACAGAGGAGGCCCGAGGAGGAGGAGCAGGAGGAGGAGCAGCAGCAGGGGCATTAGGAAGCAGCAGCACCAGCACGCAGCTGGCCCTGCCCGCGCCGGGCGTGCCGATGCCGATGAACGCGGCGTACCCGGCGCTCTTCCAGCCCATGTGGTACCCGGGCCAGGGGGGAGCGCCTCCAGCGCACGGCATCCACTCCATTCACCCCCCAGGCACCGTCGTCATGGGTCTAGGCCCCGTGCCGCCGGTTCTACCCGGAACCCCGGCAGTTCTTCCTCAGGGCTCCGGCGCAGCATCCAGCTCGTCTCCGGACGAGCCGTGGACGATCCATTGACGGTCAACATGATCCAGCCTGCTGGCATGATTGCTGCGGTGGGACATGGTGGTGTCGAGCTGACCCTGCGGGACTCCGGGTCGGGGGTCGTGGCATGCCCTGCTGATTATGCACCTGATGTTCCCATGCTGCCTCCTCGTAGGGATCTTCGTCCCATGGTGAGTGCCAAGAGCGAGCCCATCAAGAACTACGGCACCAAGAACATCACCTACGTGTTGGACAACGGGGATGAGCTGGCTATCACGTGGAACGTGACGAACGTGAACTGCCTGATCCTCTCGGCCTCCGCGCTGCGGCGCGGAGGGGCGACTGTCGTGATCGCCCCGGAGCGTGAGATGTTCCACACTGCCAGTGGAGGCTGCGTCGACCTCGTCATGCAGTCGGACGCGCCGTGGTTGAGGCTTCGGCGGCAGGCCCGAGGGATCCGTGCAGCGCGCGTCCCAACGGCCATCGAGGTAGGAGAGCCCGCGTCTGCGGCCGAGCCCGCGACTGCGGAGGAGGTGCAGCCCGCGCCTGCGGTAGGCCCCGCGGCGGCGGACGCGGCACCTGTAGAGGCCCGGGCGGCCCCTAGGGAGGCGTTACGACGCATTCCAGCCCCCTTGGATGCCTCTGAGGAGGCGAGGCCTCGCCGATCCGTGAAGGTCCCCATCGGCCCCTCGGATCACGAGAAGGAGGAGCACTACTTGACCCACATCCCGTTTAGATCATGGTGCAGCTACTGCACACGGGCTGCGGCCCCTGACGATCATCACCATCGGACGCGCATGCCCGTCGCGATGCCTTTGAAGCCGATTGTGATGATGGACTACACGTTCGTGACCGACCCCCCGTTCGACATGATGACGATCCTGGCCGTATACGACCAGGAGCTCGGGATGGTGTTGGCGCTGGTGGTGGACGAGAAGGGCCCCATCGAGTACGCGATCCGCAGCGTCATTGAGTACCTCGGGTACTGGGGTAGGAAGGCCATCATTTTGAGGGTCGACGGCGAGCCCGCCATCGAGGCCCTGGCGGAGGCGATCCGCATCGGGCGTGCGGATCCCACAGTCTTGGAGATGAAGCCCCGGTACTCGCCTGAGTCCATGGGCGGCGTCGAGAACATGAACAAGGCGGTGAAGAACCTGCTGAGGCCCTTCGTCCTGTACCTGAGGGACGTGGCGAAGGTCGAGCTGCACACTGGTCACCCGCTGGTGCCCTGGCTTGTGCGGCACTGCGGCTGGTGCATATGCATGTACCGTGTGCGCGCGGACGGCCAGACGGGCTACGAGAGGTTGAAGGGCCGGCCATGCAACGGCAAGATTGCCCTCTTCGGGGAGTGCCTGCGGTACCGGACCCCCGATGCCTCCCGTCTTTCGTCCGTGGACGAGCGCTGGACCACGTGCATCTGGTTGGGCAAGAGCTGGAAGACCGACGAGCACATCATCGTGTTGGGCAACGAAGTGCGCCTAGCCAGATCTGTCCGCCGCAAGGCTATAGGCAAGAGGTGGAACAAGAAGATGCTGGATAAGGTGCTCTGCACTCCGTGGCTTCCGCGCCTGGGCGCCCAGACCCCGGCCGTCCGGCCGAAGCGCTACATCACGAAGGCTTACCTCGACAAGTACGGCCTCGCCCCCGAGTGCCCCGGCTGCGCGGGGCGCACCACGGGACACAGCGACGCCTGCAAGGCTCGTTTCTTGGCGATCTGGGGAAGGAGGATGAGGCATTAGCAAGCAGTAGTGCCGCAGCGCCGGCGGCCTCCGCAGAGGCGCCGCAGCCGGCGGCATCCGGCCCTCAACTCGAAGCCCCCCCGGGGCTCCCCGCACCTGCCGGAGCCGCTCCAGACGCCGACGTGGCAGCTCCGGCGGGGGATGCGGCCCCTGCCGCTCCACCAGGGCTGGCCCCGGCAGCCCGCGACCCCGCCGTGGACGCAGAGATGGAGGCTGCGAGCATCGCGGCGAAGCGCGAGCGGGAGGACCTGAGCTTCCAGGAGAAGGTCGAGCTCTTCGAGAGTGGTGGCGCTGATGCCAGCGGGCCCGCGTCTTCGAGGAGGCGCGTAATCGGCGCTCTGCATGTGTGCGGCCAGCCGTCCCTTGCGGAGGCCAGGAGCATCGTAGCGCCGGTGGCCTACGTGGCGACGCCAGACATCGGCACGCAGGACGTCAAGGACCACAAGACCGGCGAGGTGCTCGACCCCGAGCTCGCGCGCGCGGGCCGCGCGCGGGAGCGCCAGAACATGCTGGACAGGTGCCTCTACGAGCGCGTGCCAATGAAGGACGCTAGGGGTAAGAAGGTGCGCAGCATGTGGCTCGACGAGAAGCGCGTGCAGGACGGTGAGACCACCGTCCGGTCGAGGTGCGTGGCCATGGAGTTCAACGCGCGCGACCGGCTGGACACGTACACGGCGACGCCCCCACTGAAGTTCATCAAGTTGATCGTCTCACGAGCTGCCTCAATAAGACGTCCTGGCTCCAACGAGTGGACCAGGGTGCTGGGGCTCTACGACATCGCCACAGCATTCTGGCACGCCAACTTGCCGCTGGACGAGCCGATCACGGTGATCCCGCCTAGGGGCGAGGAGGTCCCAGGGATGGTGTGGCAGATGCTGAAGGCGATGTATGGCGCGCGCCGTGCGTCTCAGCTGTTCCTCGAGTTTATGGTGAAGGTCTTCGACCAGTGCGGCTACCAGGTTTTGAAAACCAGCCGCCAGATCTTCTACTCGAGGCAGTGCGACTCTTTGGCCGGTTTGTGGGGCGACGACATCATAGCTGAGGCGGAGAGCGAGGGCATCGACCACCTTGACGCCATGATCAGCCGGCTGTGCAACATCAAGGTCCTCCCTCGCGTTGGACCTGGTTGCAGCTTGATGGGCCGTTACCTCAAGCGCTACATCTGCTACGTGCCGGGATTCGGCTACGAGTGGAACGAGGACCCGAAACACGTTACGATGCTCTTGGGGAGCACGGGCAAGCTCAAAGCTAAGCCCCAAGGGAGCCCATGCAGCAGGCACATCGGCAGGGACGATCCGGCGATCCTCGACGAGCTCGACGGCGAGTCGCAGACCAAGTATCGCAGCGACACCGGTCGCGTGCTGTACGTGTCGTCCGGGCGCTTCGACATCCAGTACTCGGCCAAGGAACTGGGCGAGCAGATGTCCACGCCTCGCCGGCTAGGCAATGCAAGGCTGGACCGCTGCGCGCGGTACCTCACAGGCTGCCCGTTCTTGGCGCTCGTCTTCAAGCACGAGCCGGAGGCAGGTGGCTCTTGGATCCCGGTCGACAGCAACTGGGCCGAGGAGCCAGACCGGTACTCGACCCACGCAAGTTGCGAGTTCGTGGGCTCGCATTTGATCGAGTCCTGGGTCGTGCGGAGGCCGAGCTTTACGGCATCGTCGACGGTGCGGCCAGGGGTATCATGACCCAGAGCCTCTTCAAGGAGATCGCGGATCTGCGCGGTGCCGGAGCGGCATGGTCCGTGACCGTCGGCAGCGACGCCAGCGCCGCCATCGGCATCAGCTCGAGGAGCGGCGTGGGGAAGACCCGCCATATCGCGACGCGATGGCTCTGGGTCCAGGACGCCGTCCGGGAGAAGCAGATCATCCTCAAGAAGGTCCCCGGCGAGACCAACATCGCCAACCTGGGAACGAAGGCATTGGAACCGAAGAGGCACCAGGAGCTCATGAAACTGCTCCCCCTGGCAAAGCCTACGTGCCGCTGGTTCCTGGCGGTGTTGGTGGCCCTGGGAGCGGCCCCTGCAACGCAGGCCGCCCAGGAGGCGCAGGAGGAGCTGACGTGCGCGGTGAAGCCGCAGTGCGAGGACTCCAAGCTCATCAACCATATGCTCGTCGCTCTTCTGACCTGGGGGCTGGTGCGCCTCTGGGACTGGGCGCGCCGACCGCGCAAGGTCCAGGAGCAAGTGGGAACCCGCGGCCGCCTGCGGCGGCGTGACGAGGAGGAGGACGAGCGTAGGAGCAAGAAGCGACGATACAGGGCATCGTGAACCTTACGTGCCTGAACACAGCCATGGCTGATGTGGCTGTCACCTAGGCTGCGGTCAGCCCCGCGCCTGGGTCGCTGGTCAGCGGAACTCCCGCGACAGCACCCGCGTCTGCGGCTCCAGGCCGCGACATCGGATGAGCCTCGAGGAGGCGAATGGGAAGCAGTACGCACGCGAGGCTGCAGATGACCCCATCGCGGTGCGATGGATGAGCCTTCGGAGGTCTTCCTCGGAGGCGTGGCGATTTGGTGGAGGTGAGCATCCGCGCCGCTCCAACCGATGAGGCTTTTGAGGCCGTGGCCTGGGCAGCGGAAGGCGCCCCGCGCCCAGGGTTCAGGCTAGTGTAGTGAGAGCAGGCAGTGCTTGGCGACTGTCCCGCGCCGCGCTCTGAGGAGGCGTGGTGAACTACATAGCCTAGGAAAGTGAAGGTAGCAAGCCTGATGCAAGTTTGTGCATAGCATTGTGTAGCAGCGTGCGGACATGAGCTATCCCACATCATGGGATTGTGCATCGCGGCGTTCGCGGTGCAAGCTATCGTGTCCGTAACCGTTGGCTCAAGCATCCGAGCGTGGAGGAAAAGAGCGCCCTATTCTTTCCCTCCCATCTGCGATCACTCCCGCGAGTTTCGTACTCGCGCAGAGGTAAACGGTACCCATTTCCACCGCCAGAATGTTTCCACATTCACCGCTCGCGTCGGAATCGTGTCCTGAGATCTCAAGGAGCGGTGGATATGGATACTTGCCCGCCCGCGTGGGCGGGCAAATATCCATATCCACCGCTTCCCGAGTCCTCGGAAAACGACAGGGCGGTGGTGAATCTGGTCGTATTCTGGCGGTACACAATGCCCATACACTCGCCTCGTTTTCACATTTGTCTTGGCCTCCTGTGAGGCCCTCGTCGTCACCGTCGGATTCGCATCGACATCCTGGTCAGAACCCACCTTTGGTGAGGTACTGGGGGGCAGCGGTATCCGTACCCGTTGGTTTCCCCATAAAAAGCCGCCGCGGCTCCATAACATAACAGGAGGCAGTACCGCCAGTCGACACCAACTGCGCGGTCCAGCTTGATCAACAAAAAGGCATCGCGTCACGGGTCCACCTGCTCAAAGGGCATCCTGAGATCAGCACTGATTCAACGTGCGTCTGCACTGTCACGCTTTGCATTGCTTGGGTCGGATGCATGGGTTGTGGGGACTTCCTTGCCGTCGCCTGAAAGTCGTCCACTCGATGCTCGCGATGGCTTCCCTACTTTCCTGGGCACTCTTCGCACCGCTTCTCACCGCCGCTCAGTCTGCCACGGGAGCCTTCTGGTTCCACATGCGCGTCGAACCATGATAGCTGGTTTTTGGCTGGTCCACGTCTTCGGACGCTGCGCCTCCTAGGCAGCGTCAGTGCAACAGAAAACGAAGAAGAGGTGGAGGAGGTGGAGGAAGAGGAGGATGAGGAGGCCCAGTGTGAAGTCAAGACGCTTCAACGATGTTGCAGTAAGCCCTCACTCCAAATTCCCTCCTCGTAGGCCTCCACAACGATGTATGCTCACTGAGGGGAGTTCCCCGGTGGAAGGCAACCGTCTGAAAATTCTGAACCTTGCCAGAACATCATTCTTGGGACTTCAACGCCGCGAATCAACGTCAGTGTTGCGACGGCGCAAATTCCTACATCGTGCAATGACACAGTTTCTGGGGCGCTAATCCCGACAACATTCGAAATTGCTGAACACTGTGCGCGGCGGTAAGGCGAGATCCACATGTTGAAAGCGGTACACCTGCAATCGTCGAACCGCTTGTAATTCTTCAATTCAAATGCACGCGGCGTTAAAGCGAGGGCCACAGTTTGCAAGCGTGCAGCTCGTGCGCTCTCTAAGCCGAGCGTGCGGGGCGCTGTGGCGAGATCCACGGTTTGAAACGGAACCACCCTCAATCCGTGACAGCCGCCGCAGATTGTTAGCACGAAGGCGTGCGGTGCCGAGGCGAGAGCCACATTTTGAAAGCGACCCTTGACGATGATCGGATGATGATGCTGATGATGATGATGATGATGACGATGACGATGACGATGCTGATGATGATGATGCTGATGATGATGATGGTGATGATGCTGATGCTGCTGATGATGATGATGATGATGATGATGAAGCTGATGCTGCTGATGATGATGATGATGATGAGGATGAGGATGAGGATGATGCTGACGATGATGAGGATGATGATGAAGATGATGATGCTGATGCTGTTGATGCTGATGCTGATGATGCTGCTGTTGTTGATGCTGTTTTTGATTGTGAATACATTGCAGCTGTTCAAGACGAAGGTGCGCGGCGCCAGTGCGAGTGCCACACTTTCAGAGCGGCCCGCCCTCGATCCGTGACCGTCTGGCAGGTGTTGGAGACGAGCGTGCGCGGCGCGGCGGCTAGGGCAACATTTTAAGATCCACCCGCCCTCGATCTTTGAAACTTTCGTAAACGTTGTAATCTTCAGGACCACGAGCGGTGGGGAAGTCTCGGGAGAAACGCTCCGCCCGCCTTGCGGACTGGTCTCCGGGTGCGACATGGAGGAGTTATCTAGATGGAAGGGGGATGGAGGAGGAGGAGGAGGAGGAGGAAGAGGAGGAGGAGGAGGAGGGGAGGAGAGCGGAGAGGAGGAGAGAGATAAAGATGAGGATTGCGATGATGATGAGGAGGAGGAGCATCCGAAGGATGCAGGAGCAGGAGTATCAGGAGGATGAGGACGACGACGATGACATAGAAGAGCAGAATGGGCCATGCTGAGGGGGGGAGGAAGGGGAGGAGGAGGAGGATGATGATGCCATCGACGATCAGGAAGGGAGGTACCAATTACGATGATGATGCTGATGATGATGATGACGATGCGGCTGATTGTGATGATGATGAGGAGGATGAGGATGGTGCGGCTGAACAGTCTGATGCTGATGTTGATGATGATAGTGGTGATGATGATGATGATGATGATGATGATGATGGTGATGATGGTGGTGATGATGATGCGGATGCTTCTGCTGATGATGATGCTGCTAATGATGGCGAGTGTGGTGGTGATGATGCTGTGGTGGTGGTGGTGATTATGATGGTGATGCTGATGCTGATGGCGATGATGATGCTGATGATGATGCTGCTGATTCCGCTGATGATGACGATGATGCTGATGATGTTGCTGATGCTGATGCTGTGGATGATGACGCTGATGAGGTTGCTGATGATGAAGTTTGTGGTGGTGCTGGCGATGCTGCTGATACCTCCGCTGATCATGCTGCTATTGATGATGCTGATGTTGATAATGATATTGATCCGCAGTTGGCACTGATGACGATGATGCTGATGATGATGCGGATGAGGCCGTGTGATGCTGATGAGTGTGATGATGATGATCATCATCATGTTATGATAGGGATGGCGATGACGGCGACGACGACTGCGACGACGGCGCTGTTGCTGCTGATGATGACGCTGATACTGATGATGCTGTTGTTGTTGATGGTGATGCTGGCTGTGGTGGTTGTAGTAGTGATCATATGCTAATGGTGACGGTGCGTGTGATGTTGATGTTGATGGTGATGATGATGATGACAATCATGCTATTGATGATGCTGATGATGCTGACGATGATTATTATGCTGATGTGTTGATGATGTTGATGCTGAGGATGAAGGTGATGCTGCTGATGGTGGTAATGTTGATGATGCTGATGGTGGTGATGCTGCTGAGGATGATGACGATGATGATTGCGGTGACGGCGATGCTGAGGTTGATGCTGCTGATGCTGATGATGATGAGACCGATGGCGCGGCTGCTGATGGTAATGAGGTTGGTGCTGATGCTGATGCTGATGCGGCTGATGATTATGAGGATGCTGATGATGATGAGGCTGATGCTGATGCTGATGTTTATGATAATGCTGCTGATGCTGGTGACGTTGATGATGATGATGATGATGATGATGATGATGATGATGATGATGGCGAGCATGCTGATGATGATGATGGTGATGATGCTGATGATGCTGATGGTGAGGATGGTGATGATGATGATGATGATGATGGTGATGATGACGATGCTGATGATGATGATGATTATGATGATGATGATGATGATGATGATGATGATGATGATGATGATGCTGATGATGATGATGATGCTGATGCTGATGCTGATGCTGATGCTGATGCTGATGCTGCTGCTGCTGCTGATGATGAGGATGAGGATGAGGATGAGGATGAGGATGAGGATGATGATGATGATGATGATGATGAGGATGAGGATGAGGATGAGGATGAGGATGACGGTGATGGTGGTGGTGGTGGTGGTGATGGTGATGGTGATGGTGATGGTGATGGTGGTGGTGATGGTGATGGTGATGGAGATGATGGAGGAAAAGGAGAGGGAGAGGAGGAGGAGGAGGAGGAGGAGGAGGAGGAGGAGGAGGAGGAGGAGGAGGAGAGGAGGAGGAGGAGGAGGAGGAGGAGGAGGAGGAGGAGGAGGAGGAGAGGAGGAGGAGGAGGAGGAGGAGGAGGAGGAGGGGAGGAGGGGGAGGGGGAGGGGGGGGGGGAGGGGGAGGGGGAGGGGGGGGAGGGGGAGGGGAGCAGGGGGGGAGGAGGGGGGAGGAGGGGGGAGGAGGGGGGAGGAGGAGGGGAGGGAGGAGGAGGAGGAGGAGGAGGAGGAGGAGAGGAGGAGGAGGAAGAGGAGGAGGAGGGCGAGGAGGAGGAGGAGGAGGAGGAGGAGGAGGATTGGATTGGACACGTCGGGAGCAAGGCTGGACCATCCAGCAACAAAGGATGGAGACCCGACCCTGCACCGCTAAGCGGCACATGGCGGCCCTCCAAACAACATGCCAGAGGACCCGACCTAGAGAGAACAACCGCGATGAGTCCCACGCAGTGCAGAGCAGTGGCAAGCAAGCGGTAGGCTACAAACCAGTTCCATTGGTTGCCACCGCTGGCCACTAGGAACCCATGAACTGCGCACGGTATAGCTCAGTCTTTTAAAAAGGAAGCAATATCCTCCTCCTCCTCCTCCTCACATTCTCCTCCAAGCCTCCCCCACCCCATAATCGAGCAGACAACTCTGGGGGAAGAGGCAGGGGGAGGGAGTGGTATGAGGGAAGGGGGGGCAAGGAGAGACGACATGGAGACAGGGAGACAGGGACAAGCTCCTCAAGAACAACATCATTGCCCTTGGCATGCGAGGGGTGCTTACCCTCCCGCACTCGCTTGAGATTATACCTGAGGTGGTCACTGGTTGGCCCTCCAAGGCAGTCCTCTGCAAGCTTGTTAAGTCGTCCTGATTCGGTCATGCATCCACAAGCCTTGCAAATGAAAATAACGCCGCCAGGGTGTTGGGTAACATGCAAGTGGTGGCGGCGCGGGTTCGCGAAGAGAGCGGGGAGCTCGGGGTGAGCCTGCTTGCAAGCAGGTGTGGGCAAGGGAGGGTCACGCAGGCTGCGCCTTAGGCAGACTCTACAAACCCACCTGGACTGCCTCCACACCCAGCGGTGGCCGCCCACCGTGAGACCGGCGGGTACAGCAGGGGCACTGGCAGGAGGAAAAGGGGCAGGGGGAGGGGCAGGAGGAGAGGGAGGGGCGGGGGGAGGGGCATTGGACGACCCTGCGGCCTCGCCCAAAACTTCTTGGCCAGCTGCTGCACCAACACGGCCTCGCCCCGTAGCTGTCCCTCCCCTGGCCAGCCGCTCCTTCGGCCGAAGGGGAGCCAGGGAGCTCCAGTGCAGCAGTGCTTTACATACGAATTTATGGTACTGGGCCAAAGCATGGCACTCGCGAGAATGCTCGTCGAGCTCAGCTGCCGAGGGCGCGCGTGCGAAAGCGCCGCCGATTTGGCCAGTAAGTCGGCCCAATGGTTACCTTTAGCCTGGTACCACTCCTCGCTGTAGGAAGTGAGGTCGCTCAGATCTACATGGGCTTTAACTTTAGAAATGCGTAGCTGCTCACGCGGCCTGGGGAAGGCACCGATCCCAAGAAGCTTCACTCCAGCATAATAGGATCTTCGATCGAAAACTGCCTCTGGAGCCTTCTCCGCGGTACCGACAAGACCCTCGTAATCAGTGCAGAACTCGCTGGCATATGGTGCATGCCTACACGAAGCAAGAAAACCTACATGTTCAGCGGCCGGGCTGGTTTGAGGTAGGAGACGACCTACTTTACCAGAGATCGAAGCGTGCACTTCGCCATGACCAGTGATATAGACACAAGCCCAACCAGCACAGTGGTGTACCCGATGTCCGTCTTTGAAGCAAGATCCATCCCAGAAGAGCCTCTTGCCTCTAAAGGCTTCAAGTACAGTCGCGCCAGGATCCACGCAGTGGAATTCGTACTGCTCATGCCCCAGACCGTCAGGTGGACACCAGATGCTCTCCGGCTCAACTTGGAGGCCTAACATTAAGGGGCACTTCCCGCTCCCGTGTATGACTACATTCTGAACCAACTCTGAAAGAAACTCATCTCGCAGCGCCCTCGTGGCAGGGCAGAGGAACAGCCGGTGATGCAAATCATCAGATATAGCACCGCAGAGCGGGCAAGATGAGTCAGGAATAGTGTACCCCATTTGCAATAGTCGCCAATTCGTGTAGACGCTCTGCAATAGGAAAGCTTTCAACATTCGCTTCTCAGCCGCACTCAGGGCGTCAGAAAACAGAAGGCTCCTAGCAACGGACATATCCACCCTTTCACCCTCCAACCCGATTTTCTGGGCAGCCCTCTCGGAGAGTTGTCTCATCCAAACGACCTTCAAGTCCGACAACAATTTGGCGGGGGAGGTGGTGGTGAGGTGGATTTCGTCCCCGAGGTGATTGATCCAGACGAACGGGGTTTTGAAGGACCAGGAAACACGGGCCAGTGACAGCACGGCCGCCCCCAAGGGTCCTTTGACCTGGTTCCAGGTCCTGAGTTCTTGATGGAGCACTGGATCAGCAAGTTCACGCAGCCCTGCAAGAGAAGGTTCAAAATTTCTGGACGTAGTTGCCTTCCAAACCAGATTGGCCCAAGTTAGAGCGGGACCCAACGCCAACTTGTGGGTGGGGTCATCGTGAAGAAGGAGAGTCAAAGTTCGGGAGCGGGAGGGGCAGGTCGAGCCCACAGTCTGCAGGAAGAAGGATTGAGCAGAGTACACTTCCTTCCCATCCAAGCCCACCACTTCCGCCCCGTAATATCCATAACTCTGCAAACCACTGATGTAGAGGCGCTGCATGTCGGCACCTCCCTTCTTGACCGCCGCCAGACGCCTCTTTCGCGCCCGGAGGTTCTTGATCCGAGCCTTGAGGTTGCGTCTCGCCCCCTTGCGACATCGAAGCTGCCCGGCTGTGGTATCAATGCCAAGATTCTTGGCGGAACGCAAATTGGAAGTGCCCGCGAACTTGCCCATGGCCTTCGCTAGGTCACGGCGGAGAGAATCAGAGTTGGCCGCCACTGCCGACTTCTTCGATGCAAGCTGACAGTCTAGATCTTCCCCAATTAAGCGTACGACCTCAGACGAACTGGCCACAGTTCTGTTGATCAAGACACGCCTATCGGAATCAATGTTCATGTTTACCCAAACCCAATCGTCGATGAAAAGCTATAGATCAGACAGCCGATGGTTCTCAGCAAAAGCCTTCACAGGGTCATGCGAATACACCTGGACCAAGAAAGTCGCCCAGGGACACCCAGCAATAATACTTCTGTCCGGGAACAGGGATGCAATGGCATAGCCATTCAGAGTGAAGAACCTCTGCGAACGATACATGTTACAGGCGACTGTGAGACACATCATGTTGAAACCAGTGGCCTGCGCACGCTCGCGAAGGACCCTAAAACAAACATGGTCGTAGTACGAGCTCATGTCATAAAATACCGCCGAAGCGTGCACCACTCGATCCCGATAGCTCGCCGATTCTGCTTTAAGGTTCTGCAGGAAAACAAGCTCAATGATCGACGTACCACGCTGATGACACAAGGCACTCAACCTGTGCTGCCTCTCCCATGTCCGGGCCTCCACTTGCCTGAGCTTACCTCATACACGGTACAGCGACGCGCATAATCCAATGCCGCACAATTTGACCTCGGCGTCAGGCCTGTGTTTAGGTATAAGACACGTGACAATGCCTTGCAGGACAGTCGGGAAATGACTATGCAGCTCAATGCAACGCAACAGGCGAGCTAGCACAGTCAGCTGGGAATCCGAACACATAAGGTAATGGCGAGGGTGGAAGCCGTCGTACGTCTGGGAAGTCTTGGGGCTGAAGGTCCGAATGACCTGCTTCAATTCCAAAGGAGTGGCCAGGGGCACCTCCCGGCGAAAGTCAAAAGGAACTTCCCAAGGCTCGTGAGGAGACTCAGAACATTGCCAAAGAGCCTCCAACCTCCCAGCCTCCACCCGTAAAATTCGCGTCGGCTGCCCAGCCCAAGTACCTGCCTGTAGTACCTCACCTGGCCGCCACACGGATTTCCATTTTGTCCAGCGGTGTTGCCACGCAAGGGTCTCAGCCCCACTGCGCCCCGAGACCCATTCCCTCCAAGCTTGAAGAGACGCCTGAGTATCCTTGGATTTCTCTGCATTCATAGCCACATCTAAGTCCTTCAGGAACTCATCTACAACCTGAGTGGTAGCACTGGGATTCAGGAGGTGGAGGGAGGAGGAGGAGGGATGAAGGAGGAGGGAGGAGGGAGGAGGGAGGAGGGAGGAGGAGGAGGAGGAGGAGGATGGAGGAGGGAGGAGGGAGGAGGGAGGAGGGAGGAGGGATGATGATGATGATGATGATGATGATGATGATGATGATGATGATGATGATGATGATGATGATGATGATGATGATGATGATGATGATGATGATGATGCTACTGCTGATACTGCTGATGCTGCTGATGATGATGAGGAGGAGGAGGAGGAAGAGGAGGAGGAGGAGAAGGAGGAGGAGGAGGAGGAGGAGGATGAGAGGAGGCGGAGGAGGAGGAGGAGGAGGAGGAGGAGGAGGAGGAGGAGGAGGAAGAGTGCGAGGAGCAGAAGGAGGAGGAGAGGAGGAGGAGGAAGAGGGCGAGGAGCAGAAGGAGGAGGATGGAGGAGGAGGAGGAGGAGGAGGAGGAGGAGGAGGAGGAGGAGGGGGAGTAGCAGGAGGAGGAGGTCGACAACGACGAACAGCATGAGGACGAGGACGAGGGCGAGTGTTCGCGGAGCACATGCTCCCCCCCCCGCCCTCCCCCCCGAGGCCCTGCGCACCACAGGCCCGGCGAGGCGGGCGCTGCCGTTGCGGCAGGGAGGTGGTGGGGAGGAGGGCGAGGAGCAGAAGGAGGCGGAGGAGAAGGAGGAGGAGGATGAACATGATGATTTCGAGGCGCGCGGGTCAGCGACCCAAATTGGACGCTGCCTGTCAGATCAAACTCGCGACGGCCGAAGCGCTTTAAACGCTAGGAGCAAGATGGAAGGCACCATGGTAGTGCTGTTGATAACGACGGTAACCACGATGATGATGATGATGATGATGATGATGATGATGATGATGATGATGATGATGATGATGATGATGATGATGGTTCTGATGATGATGCTGATGCTGATGCCGATGCTGATGCTGATGATGCTGATGCTGATGCTGGTGATGATGCTGATGCTGGTTCTGATGATGATGCTGATGCTGATGATGCTGATGATGATGACGATGATGCTAATGATGATTCTGATGATGCTGATGATGATGCTCCTGATGATGATGATCATCATCATCAGCATGATGCTGATGCTGATGATGATGCTGATGATGATGCTGGTGATGATGCTGATGCTGATGGTGGTGATGATGATGATGCTGTGCTGGGGATGACGATGCTGATGCTGATGCTGATGATGGTGATGCTGATGCTGATGCTGATGACCATGCCGCTGCTGCTGCTGATGATGATGATAATGATGATGGGGACGGTATTGGTGGTGGTGGTGATGGTGATGATGATGATGACGATGATGCTGATACTGGTGATGGTGATGATGATGAGGATGATGATGATGATGATGATGATGATGACGGGGATGATGGTGATGATGATGATGATGGCGATGGTGGTGGCGATTGTGATGGCGATGACGGTGGTGATGCTGATGCTGAGGATTATTCCGTTGCTGCAGCTGCTGCTGTTGATGATGATGATGGCGACGGTATTGGTGGTGGTGGTGATGGTGCTGATGATGAAGATGATGCTGATATTGGTGATGATGATGCTGATGGTGATGATGATGATGGCGATGGTGGTGGCGATTGTGATGGCGATGACGGTGGTGATGATGGTGGTGATGATGCTGATGATGACGATGATTATGTTGCTGATGCTGATGATGCTGGTGATGATGATGCTGATGGTGGTGATGATGATGCTGATGCTGATTCTGATGCTGATGCTGATGATGATGCTGATGATGATGATCGTGATGATAATGATGAGGATGATGATAAGTATGATGATGATGATGATTATGATGATTATGATGATGATGATTGTGGTGATGATGATGATGATGATGATGCTGATGCTGATGCTGATGCTGATGATGATGCGGGTGGTGATGCTGATGATGCTGACAATGGTGACGATGGTGTTGAGTATGAAGACGAATCGGATCACTATGGTGGCGATGATTATGCGGCTGCTGGTGATGGTGATGATGATGATGATGATGATGATGATGATGATGATGATGATGATGATGACGATGATGATGATGATGATGATGATGATGATGATGATGATGATGATGATGATGATGATGATGATGGTGATTGTGATGGTGATGATGCGGATGCTGCTGATGATGCTGGCAAGGAATGGGGCTGTTGCTGCCGCTGGTAGGGTTTTATGTTCCTGAAGGCGACGACGCATGAGGAGGAGGAGGGGAAGGAGATCGAGGAGGGATGAAGAGGAGGAACATAAGTTAGGGTAGCGAGGAGGGGGAGGTGAAGGAGGAGGAAGGAGGAAGGATGAGGCTGAGGAGGACGAGGAGGGATCTGCAGCAGGAGGAGGAGAATGAGGTTCGATAGTGAGGAAAACGGTGAGGAGGAGGGTGTGTGGTTCGGTTGAGGCATTGCAGGAGTATCTGCCGAAACTGTGCTGCGCTTGATGCCTGGGCGTCGTCGTTGCGAGAATCGGGAGGAAGACCTAGGGGGACACTGAGGCTGTCTGACCTCTCGGGATCGGCCGAGGAGGCGGAACACAGTCACACGGGATCATGAGGACGAGCCGCTTTCCAAGGGCACCTTTTCAGCCTTGCGCCTTCGCCCCATCCTTGTGTCACAGTCGCTGGACACCTTTCGCCCAACAAGGCCCTCCGCTAGGGCGTCCGCGGTCCGTGCCTGCCTCCTTACCGCGCGTCTCTGCCACGGCAGTGCGAGCGGGCCCGCCGCGCGAGGGGCGGCGAGCGAGAAGTCACAGAGGTGACCTGGGGGGCCTGGGGGGCAGAAGGAGGGAGGATGTGGAGGAGGAGGAAAGGGAGGCGGGAGGAGGAAGAGCAGAAGGAGGAGCAGGAGGAGGAGGAGGAGGAGGAGGAGGAGGAGGAGGAGGAGGAGCGGAGCATGAGAGCAGGAGCAGGTGCAGGAGGCGGGGGAGGAGGAGGCGGAGGAGCAGGAGGCGGAAGAGGAGGCGGCGGAGCAGGAGCATGAGCAGGACGCGGAGGAGAAGGAGGAGGAGGAGGAGGAGGAGGTAGGAACTGTGGAACCTGCGCGATATGTGGGACCTGTAGACCCCGTGGGACTTCTGCGGAGCCTGTGGGGCACGAGACGCCCGCGCTCGCCGCGCGCGCGGGCGCCTCGCCGCCCGAGGGGGAGCAGGAGCAGGAGCAGGAGCAGGAGCAGGAGGCGGAGGAGGAGGAGGAGAAGGATGAGGAGGAGGAGGAGGAAGAATAGGAGGAGGAGGAGGGTTCGTTTGAACAGGAGGAGGATGAGGAGGAGGAACAGCAGCAGCAGGCGGAGGAGGAGGAGGAGGAGGAGAAGGATGAGGAGGAGGAAGGCGACCTGCGCTATCGGAAAGCAGTCGATCAGTCATCGGCGGCGAGTGAGGGGGGATGTGAGAAGCGCCCAGCCTGTACAGAATGCTTGGAAGTCCCCCGACCTTCTGAGAAGTTTCTTAGCCTTCCCCGAAGGCACCGTCATTTTTTAAGAAGGCGCGAGGGCTTCTGATAAGTCCCGCCGCCTTTGAGAAGGCCTCTTCCTTCTCTTTCCCCCCTCGCTCGCCGCCAGATCCAGGGTTGAACGATCCACGCGGTGCCTGAAACTCTAGGCCTCCTAGTTGGGGCCAGGGTCGATGGGGTCGGAGGATCGCGCCGCATCGCCGATGCATCGCCGACGCCGGCGATGCATCGGCGACGTCGACGTGAAGCAAGCCGGGCCCCTTCTAGGAGGCCTCCAGAAACGATTCCTAGGTCGTCACGACACCGGCCCGCCGTGGGCCGCTCGCGGCACGCGCGGCTTCGGCCATCTTCGGCCTCGCCGCCTGCCTGGTCCGTGCCTGGTCGTGCTGTCGCCGCGGGCAGCCGCAGTGACTGCGGGCAGCGAAGGCATCGACGTCGTCGGCGACTGCCAGTCGCCGACGACGTCGATGCCTTCGCTCTGGAGGTCCCTTGGGCCTTCGGGAGGCTCGCGCCGCCGCGGCTGGGAGCCGCTTGAAGAGCAGACCGACACCAGCGCCGAGGTCGTCACGCTGGCGCCAGCACGAGCCTCCTGAGGATGATTAGCCGAGCCGGCCGCTGCCCCAGGAGGCGGGCTACAACAACAACTACTGACACTGCTATCACATGTGCCACTACTGCCACGATTGCGAATACTTCTGCTACTACTGCTACTACTACTACTCCTGCTACTGCTACTGCTACTGCTACTACTACTACTACTACTACCACTACCACTACGACTACGACTACGACTACGACTACGACTACGAGTGCTACTACGACTACTACTACTACTACTACTACTACTACTACTACTACTACTACTACTACTACTACGACTACGACTACTACGAGTATACGACTACTACGACTACTACTACAACTACTACTACTACTACTACTACTACTACTACTACTACTACTACTACTACTACTACTACTACTACTACGACTACTACTACTACTACTACTACTACTACTACTACTACGACCACTACTACTCTACTATTATTACTACGACTACTACTACTACTACTACGACGACTACTACTACTACTATTATTTCTACTACGACTACTACTACTACTATACTATTACTATACGACTACTACCACTACTACTATTACTACTACTACTACGACTACTACGACTACTACTACTACTACTACTACTACTACCAGTACACCTACCACTACGACCACGACTACTACTACTACTACTACTACTACTACTACTACTACTGCTACCACTACTACCACTACTACTAGTAGCACCTAGTAGTAATACTGCTGCTACTACTACGACTACTGCTACTACTACTACTACTACTTCTACTACTACTACTACTACTACTACTACTACTACTACTATTGATAGCACTACTACTATTACTACTACTACTACTACTACTACTTCTATTTCTTCTACTGCTACTTATTTTCACATTGCTACTACTAGTACTACTTCGACTACATCTACTATTACTATGTACTACTCCTACTACTACCATAGCATTACTACTTGTACTACTACTACCATTACTATTACTACTACGATTGCTATTCCTACGTTTACTGCTACGTCTTGTAGTACTGTTACTACTATCACTGCTACTAGCACAACTACTACGACTACTACTACTACTACTACTACTACTACTACTACTGCTACTATGAGGACTACTACTGCTACTCCTATAGTAGAGGTAGGATTACGACTATTATCAGTACCACTACTACTTCTATTAGTACCACTATTATTACCACAACTTTTTTTACTACTACTACGACGATTGTTACTACTACGACTACTACGCATATTACTACTACTACTACTACTACTACGACTACCACTACTACTACTACTACTACTACTACTACTACTACTACTACTACTACCACGACTACTCCTACTAGCACCTACTACTACTACTGCTACGCCTACTCCTACTCCTATCACGACTGCTACTCCTACTACTACCACTACTACTACAACTATTACCATTATTATTATTACCAGTACTACCACTACTATCACAAATAATAGTATCATGTTGGTACTGTTGTGACTACTACTGCTAC